GTATTATATTTTATGTTACATTCCGAAATGACGATATAGATCGAAATTGTGTGTTGTCTGAAGAAACATCAACAAATCCTCCAATTCAAGCAGATATATAAGACACAATATGTTATCTTTTTTCTAAATATTTTAGAAATACCGATTCTCTGTTACTCTATTGTATACTAAGGATTATTACGAACAATGTCTACTAATTTTAGATTGAAATAATAATTAATAGTGGATTATGAATTTAGTAATTACTGAGACAGTACGAACCATTTTACATTTTTTTATATATTTTTCATTTCAATTAGTCATGTTGTCATATGTTAATGTTTCAAAATAAAGTTTTTTTTAATAAATATATATATACTAAAATGTGTTGTATAAGTTTCTGAATTAAGTAACAGTAGACGATATCTTGTAGGTGATTTATAATAATGTAAATAAAAATAATAAAGTTATGTTTTTATTTAAGCGTTCAGTGACGAAACCATTACATGCATATACTAAGATTTCACTTAAACTATTTTTGTTACAGGTATGAATTTTTTATTTTAAAATTGATCTATGAATCATGAATCTTAAACTGTATCGTATATAATAATTGTTTTAGATATTTTTGTCATGATCGACTCTGAACTGAAAGTACAGCTGATGCCAGATAATGAATCATTAACATTCTTTCGGTATATTTTAATTTAAATTCTCAATTTAGATGGCCTCATCTATTGAATTAGTGTCACCTGTATTTAGATAATATATAAATTTGGCTTCATTCTAGGATAATTGTGAAATTTGTGAAGACCTTAAAATCGTCATTTCGTAGTTGAGTGAAACTTGAATACCATCTAGTTAGGTGATAATCAATACTATTGCTTTCGTTTATTTCTATACATATATAATGTTTTTATGAAATATAAAAAAATAACAAATAGAACAATTACATTTTTAATTGTTTAAATCCAATAATTTTTTTAATTTCATATTTTTGTGTTTTATTTAAATATTTCAATTTTCTAGCCATATGTGAAAATCTTTTTGCAATAATATCATTTTGAAATAAATGTCTATGTTGTTTAACTAATCTTATACATGATATAAAGAAAACATATTTACATTGATTTATTAATTTAATAGATCTTTTATTAAATATAAATGCTTTTTTAATTAACATACGTAATGCTGAACGTATTGTACGAAATAAAAATAAACTTTTTGATCGAATATATTTATATGAATAGATTTGTATAAAACGAATACATATAGAATGTAAACGTTTCAAATAATAACATGATAATGCATAGAAATTTTTCAATAAAGTTTTATTTGTTGTATATAAACGATCGAAATAATATGAATGTGAACGTAAACTTAAAGCATTTAATAATGAATGACGTATATAATAACCTGGTTCGCGTGTAACTTTAATTGTTAGATGATTTAATTTTTTTTGTATATTCTCATTTGGATTTATTGAAACATATATTTGACGAGATTGAATATCAACAAGTGAACCCCAATATTCAACAGGACGAATTTTATTCATTGTTTTATGTCGAATATTTGTTTTAGTTTTTAATGAATTTTTTAAAGGACTAGTTATTTGATGTAATTCATTTAATTTTTTATTCATATTTAATTTAATACGACGAAGACGATAACGATGTGGTGAAATAATTAATAAATCATCTTCATGACGTACAGCAAATTCATCAAATAATGGACTGAAATTAATATCGTTATCGATTTTATTCAAATAAATTTGTCCAAGCATTGAAGCTATACGTAAACCATGATTTATACCACGTGTACGATGATATGTTTTAATTGGTAATGTTTTAGAATGACGTGTATATAGATAAGAACTAAAACTAATTGATTAAGAGAAGTTTTCATAATGATAATAAATATTTACTTGAATAATTGAGCACGAATATATTTAAGTAGTTTTGTTTTATCATAAATTTCAATATGACCTTCATGAATAATCATATCATGAAAAATTCCATTATTTATAGGTTTCGAATCATCACTCATTATTTCACACATTTGTTCATGTTCTTTTCCAACCCAATAAAGAGTTCTCTTACGAATAATACGACCATTACGATATTGAGTTTTGTAAATTGTATGAATGTATAAATTATAATCAAATTCACATTTATCAAGGAATTCAACAACTGCCTAAAACGAAATTGTTTTTAAGAAATATAAATTTAGGGAAACGGTCAGTTACGCGCGGACATTTACTCACCGGACAGCTGCTCGCTAGGGTATTTGCTCGCCAAAAACTGTTTCGAGTTAAATACATAAATAGGTTGTGGGTGTGAGTGCGGATATAAGAAAAGTATAGCATCCAAACCCACATCCACCCACCCTCGAGATCGTCAATGATCTATACGTACAGCTTAATTAATTGTCTTACTTTTGTTCTGAATTCTTTCAATTACAATTCAACGATTATCGCATTTGCCAGCAAATGTCTTAGCGAGCAACTGTCTGGTGAGAAAATACTCGCGCGTAACTGTCCTAAACCCATAAATTTATTGGGCTAAGACTCTTCATGTATATATACTTACTTTATCTAGATAATCAAGATTAATCGAATCATAAAAACACGAAACATCACTTCTCTACAATTAGAAAAAAACCATCATACATATTTATCAATTGGGTAAATAAAAAATCATTCGTTCATACTAGAAAATAAGTCATATTGCTTGCGTCTATTTCTGGTGCATTTTGACAAAAAACTTGCCATCGTTTATGCATTTCAACTCGATTAAATGTTGCAATACCTAATAAATGTTTATTATGTCTTCGTAAATATTTCAATATTTCATTTGTATATTTTAAATGATTTATATTTTCTTTTGTATTAATTCCTTCTTGTACACATGCTAAATAACGAACACTTGCTGTTTTAGGTACAAAACGTACTTTCCATGAATAACATATATCTTCACAATCTTTTATATATTCTTGTTGAACAGTTGGAGCACAAGCTTTTACAATTAAATCTTGACGAGATTTTGTTTGTATAGCATGCCTAATTTTATTCAATTAAATATAGAAAAAAATTTTTTCGAAAAAAGTTTTTACCAAATTTTATGTCGATAGAATACTAAAACAAGTGGATGAGAAGGTGATGATCCTTCTGTCGCATAAAAATACGATCGGAGTAATATAAAAACATAATATATAAGATAATAGATTAGATGACAAATATATAATTGACAAACTAATGGTGGTAAATTCTTTTGAATTTTTGTCCATTGAAATTGTTTAAATTTAAATTTTCGTATAACTTCACCTAAGGAATATTGTTGTGTTCGTGGTAATTGAATAAAAAAACACATTCGATATATAAATAATTTATAATTAAATTTCGAACCAAAAAGTTCCACTGGTAAAACATGTTTTAACCAAACACGAATAAATTTTTGTATAGTAGAAACAGGTGTTGTCAACGAAATTAATTGATCAAGTGTAGCAGTTGGCTCAGGAATATGATGATGTGTATAGGAGAGTGGTAAACGCGTTCGACGACGAAGATAGAATTGACGATGATTTATTCGGAATTGTTCAAATATAGGTATTAGATTTTCACGAATTTGTTCCTATTTTTAATCAAAAAAATTTATGTAATCAAAATTATTCTACTTACGACTTCTTCTTTTGGTCGATGATTAAAAAATGTTTTACTAAACTCTGAAGTAAACATTGCTTCAACGAACATTTGTCCATTATACGATTTTTCAATCGAATGATATATATCAAATCGTTCAAATTTTGATACATGATAATGTACTAAATGTGTCGGTAGTAATGTTCCATATAAATCTGTTAAATGTGCTTGTTGTCCTTGTTTTGTAGCATGTAAATGAAATTGTATTGTTCTTTTTCTTGTATTCATTTTATTTAATTTTAAATTTGCTTGTTTTTTTTCGTCAGATTTTCTCATTATATAATAAGGTAAACTATAAAATGATTCGTATGTACCACTTAATTGAATAAATAATTGTCGTCTACGAGTTAAACATTCAATTAATGTAAATTCACTTAAAAGATATATTAATGCGTCATCGGAGAGAATTTTTCGTCGTTCAATCCAGATATATGATAAACAAAGATGTGATAACAATGAATTTTTGGAAATATAATCAGGATTATTTAATGATTTATTATTTTTTATATCAATATTTGTTAAAAGTATATTTGAACGATTTTTATTATAGCAATTCATTAAAAGATTAGAGATGAATATATGGTTATCATTATTATTTATGAAAGATTTTCTTTGAAGAATTTCATTCCATTGACTAATTTGATATGTTGTCATTTTTTTCGTAAAATAAATTCCACGAAACTGATTTCTTGTAGTTGAATCAAGATTAGGTATTAATTGATGAAGTGATACCAATTCTGAATAATTAGTCTTTAAAATATTCATAATTACCCGCCAAAATCTAAAATACAAAAAGAAAACGAAAATAAACTGTATTTTTTTTGTATAATATTAATTCATCTATGATTTTAGCAGCAGCTGCATGTGCTGCAGCTGGAATCAGTTATATACTAAATGATGATGATGATGAACAAGTAACACATACAAAATATGAAACAGTTACTGTATCATCAACTATTATTGATAAACAAGGAATTGTTAAATGTATTCTCTATCCAAAACTAATAAATCCATATTTGTTTATTAATCACGAACAAAAAGGCACTATTACACTTATAAATAAATCGAAATGCAATGAATTTAAATTGCCTATAGATCCTCGTCAACAGATAAATAATTCAACTTTTAAACAAGAACTTTCTCTTATATTCTTTTGGTCAATACCATTAAAAGCTCGTTTATTACAAACATTCACAAAACCATGTTTAGTTATTGAAAATCGAAATCCTCTTAAACAAAATCTAATGCAAATAAGTGTTGGAATTCAAAATGTAAGAAAAGGAGTACATTATCGATCCCATCATTTAACATGTCTATATAAAATTTATTTCAGAATATAAATCTCTCACATATTCCATCGGAAATCATTTTATCCAATTATGATGAATATTCTTATCAATTAAATCGACGAGAAAATGTATTTACATCAAACAAAGAAGAATGTGATGCGACATTAGATTCATTATCATGTAATCCAATGATAAATGATCATATTATTCCAATTGGTATACTTAAAAAAACTAATCAAGATAGATTTTGTTGTAATGAAATATTAGATTTAGATAGGGAGACTAAAATGAGAAATATGGTATTGAAAAATGTAAATTTATGTGTGGAAAATTTATCAAAAATTTTAAGTGAATCATGTTCATATGATCAAGAACAATTAACGACATTAGAAAATGTTTCTTCAATTATTTCAACAACAAAAACTAATAATAAACAAAAATTATCAAGTATAGAAGATAGTTGCGAAAATGTGTATTCAAAATTATTCAAAGTAAGAATGAATGAATATCGATTCGATTTTTCAAAGCGGAGGATAAAAAGAGATGTCACATATATTCAGTATTTATTCATTTAGAAAAAATATTCCATTATCTAATGAAACAATGTCATCTAAAGTATTGTGTTTTTAACTAATTAAAGAAATTAATGTATCGGTACAATAGTTCTTCTATAATTGAAGTTTTAAATTTAATATAATTATTGTCTTATGAAAACAGACGTAACTAGAAAAAGATTAAAATCTATATTATCCTTATTTGTTCATATAAATCTAATAGAATTAAATACTTAAAAGATAGTTTAGTATGACTCATGAAAATATATATTCTATATCATTTAAAAATTCTAGCATGAAGAAAATCATGATACTACTCAATTTCAATCGAATAATCATCATAACGATATAGATTTCAATGAACGGTTATCTGATGGTATAATTTTACAACGTGGTAAACAATTTGGTATAGCATTAGGTGAACCAATGATACGAAAAAATAATGAGAATGAAAATTTGGATATAAATTCATCTCATTCAATTGATGAATTAAATAGATTACTAACGAAAACTAATTGTTTATTAATGCAACAATATCAAATTCGAACAATTGAAGATCTTATTCGATTATTTCTAGAACAAGGACAATATCATTTTACTGATTTGATGATAAATAGTTTTAAAGTTGATCCATTCATTGTTGAACAACTCAATATAATACTTTTAAAATGGGTAAAAACTTTGACTTGAAAGATTCTCTAGCGACCTCTCTCTATATATTTTTTCTATTGTAAATTTTATTAAATAAATTAATAAAAACTTTCTATTATTTCGTTTTTTCTTATTCAATATTGAAATTTCCGTTTTAATAATAAAGGAACGGTTGTCAAGGTTATCCATAGAGATATGGATAAGAATGGCAAACAAACATAGCATCCGCGCTCACTAAAAATCAGCTGCCATCAACATTATTATTTTTTGTTTTAAAACATTGTTGTTGGGTATAGACGACAACATATTTTCATAATGAAAGGCTTTGAATCACTTTCTAAACCCTTAAAACCTCGATCAGAAGTTAACGTACATACAATACATCCAACACTTGAACAAAAACCACGTTCAAAATATAATGTACCAGATTGGTTTAATCATAAGTAAAAGAGATTTTATTTCTATGATTTGATTTGTTTATTTTATCTTTGTTAGTTATGCTATTTCACACGATGCAGAACGTAGTCGAAATGTATCACATCAAGTACGACAAGATGGTCGAAGATTAATCAATGAAACATATAATGAATCATGGTGGAATAAACATGATAAGTAAGTTTGCAATTCATTTCTTAACAATAATTAAGACTTAACTTAGTGATGTACGTATTTCGGATCGTCTTGATGAAATTGATAAATGGCGTAAAACACTTGAATATACAATTCAAGATATTGATCGTGAAATTCAAGCTATTCAAACAACTAAACAACAATGCGAACGTTATTTAGAACATATGCGAAGTCCATTAGGTAAATAATTTATTAATACAAAGAAACAAAAAAAAGCTAAAATAAAAATTTTGTTTTTTTTCTTTCAAGATGTTGCATTGGAAAATCATGTGACACGTGATGGACGTAAAGCAATCGATAATGTTGATGATGAAGCTGAACGTGAATTGAAAAAGGTAAGTAATTTCCTATTCAATAGAATATATTAATATACGATTAGAAAGCCAAACAGCTAAATGATTTGATTCATTTAATATAAGACACTGATTAATATTTTCATTATATTGAACATATTCAATTGATTCTTGATTAACAAATATAAGTCGTTGTTTTTTATAATCACATAATAACCAATCTAATGTACGTTCATAACCAGTTAAACATGTTATACAACCAACATCTTTTAAATCTATATGATAATATTCTTTATCAAGTAATGAATCATATATATATAAACAATAATCTTCATTTTGTTTCGATGAATAACGTCCATAACGTATAACTATACCAATATAGTTTTCAAATGCATGTAAACCATGCATTGTACCATCATCAAATTCTAAATCACAGATATGTTTTAATTCAAATTGTGATAAACGTGATAAAACTGTTGATGTATATGTTGATGTATAGGAAAAATAACCATGATAAATTGATGATGAATTACATGCAAGATAACGTATTTGTTTATTATAATCAAGACTAAATGGAAAACCAGGCAAATGTATTTCATGAGTAACTTTACATTCTTTAAGATTATAAATATATAAATGTGTTGTTGATCCAACAAGTAATTCATTTTTAGATTGATTATAACACATTGCAATATAATTGATAGTTTTTGATTCAAAACATAATTTTTCTTCACATAAACCTGTTTCAATATTATAAATATCGATATGTGTTGAATTTGATAGAAGAAATTTATTTTGACTTAATTTTGATATCGGTTGACAATGATATTGACGATTACAAAGATTTATAATTTTTTGTGGATTATTTTGCCATAATGATAAATTAACTAGACTTGAACTTCGACGCGGATCAGTTTTGATTGATTTTGAAAGATCGAAAATAATGGGTGAACTTGGTAATGAACTTGTACGACGACGACGACCTTGATCAATAAATGTATACCTTGGTTCAAGTGTAAAACAAGTTACAAATCGTAAACGATTTTCTCTATTATTATCATCATCATCATCATCACTTGCTGCTAATTCAACATGATAAATTGATGATGTTGATAATAATTGTTTATGTTCTCTCATAAATTCTTCCATTGTTGTTGAAATACGTGGATGATTTTCAATATCATTAACTTCGTTGAATAATAATGCAATAGTAGCACGATGAATAGGTGGTAATATAGTTGTACATTCAATTGAATTATATAATTCAAATGTATCATATTGTGTAAATTGTTCGGCATATGATAAACGATGTTTATTATCATATTCAATACTATTTCGTACGACAACTTTTGCTTCATCAAACGCTAATTTTATTCGCCCATCAATTGATGAAGATTTTAATAGAAGAAGTTCACGTCTTCGAGTTTCAGGAGTTGAACTATGTGTTCGAATACGTGGCATTAAGAAAACTTATGAAGAAAAAAAAAAAGACTAACTAAAGCGAAAAACAAGTTACATATAACATTAATAACAACATTCTTTCTTGTGCGTAGGAAGTATACGTGATTGATGGTATCAAACGGCAACTTCATCAACAAGTCCAAACGGCTTTCGATCAAATTGCTCGTCTTACTGAAGCTAAACAACAATTAGTTCGAGTATATTATAATTCAAATTTAAAATTATTTTATTTATCATTAAGAATTTAATTTAGGATTTACAAGATAAACATACGGCTTTTGCTATTTGCGAAGAAAATTTACAATTAAATGAATTTTCACCAAATATTAGTTATAAACCTGATCCATGTCGACCAATTAAAGGACAAATAACACCTGAAGAATGGCTTGCTTTTTCGAAATATAATAAAGATCGAGCAGAAAAAGAAAGTAAATTGAAACAAAATAAAATCAATGATTTTTTTTTAAAAATGTATATCCTTAGTGTATGAATCAACACGTCTTCGTGAGAATATCTTTCACACAATGGGTCAATCATCATCGGATCTTGAATCACAACAAAAAGCAAGTGAATATTCATTACGTAAACGTCTTCATGAACTTGAACGTGCTCTTACTGAACTTGAATGGCAAAAGAAACAAGTAATTTTTTTATTTACAAATTTATTATTATTTATGTTTTTTCGTATTACATTAGACTCAAGAAGAAATCCTTAGTAATGAAAGTGATATTGAACGTTTAGAAAAAGCTATTCGAGGTAAATATATATTTAATTCTATTAAATTTTATCTAGAAATTATTTTCATTTAAGACAAAGAACCAATGATTAAATTAGCAATGACACGACAAGAAAATCGTCATAGTAGACCTGGAATGGATTTAGTTCGTGATGAAGTTTCATATGGAGTATGTTTATATTTACATTTTTTTCGTATCATTTGTATTGCTTCGTTTGCCGATTTAGTTATGTGATGAAATTCAACAATTAAAAGCCGAAAAACGTGCCTTAGAAGATCAATTAAAACAAGCCAAGTAATAGATATGAAAAACACCAACTGAATTTTATCTTTTTTAATAATTATATTTAGACATGCATGGAATATTCTTCAACAACAATTACATAGAATTGAAGATGAAATCGCTGTTAAATCTAATTCAATTATGCTTGAAAAACGCGCATTAGAAACTCGTCGTCGTCTTAATACTGAAATAACACCTAATACACAAACTGATCGTAATCGACAATTACTTAATATGGATACAAGTGGCCTTCGTCCAGTTCTTGAATCTATTTATTAATAACACAAAAAAAAGAAAAACAAAGACATATATTTTTTTTTCTTCTGATTCCATCTGTGCACGTGTGTGTGAATGCACTAATCCCATCATATACTTTAATATGTCAAAAAATAATTAAATAAATACAAAGAAAAAAGTTTTAATTAGTTTTCTTTATATACGAGATTGTTTCTTTGAATTGATATATATGAAATTGAGCAAGTGTTATCAAGAAATAAATACATGAACAAGCACTAATAAGTACAACCCATAAATCCGGATAACGTGATGGTGGTTTAACATAAATAGCAGCAATTAATAAAGGCAATGTTGTTGTTATACATAATACTGACTAAAATATAAAGAGTTTTTATCATATGAAATACAAAGTATGAACATACAAATAATAATTGTAATAATGATATGTGATTGAAATGAATGTATAATCGTTGGAATGCAAGAATTGAAAAACCAATGAATGTTATCCAAAAGATAAATACTAGATTATCTTTAATCATTAAAGGAAAAGCACTACAAAAAAAAGATATTAATCTTGTAAATAGATCAAATGTGAATTCTTACCTAATCATAGCAAATTGTAGAAAAGTAAAAGATTCAACTGGATATGTTGCTGAAAGTAATATCACCGGTCTAGATTACAAATATTTATTTCTATATGAAATAATCAATAAGAATACATACAAACATGATAGTAAAATTGTTTTTTCATGAACTTGAAATGAGAATAGATAAAAACAAAGTGAAACATTAAACTAAAATAAAAAAATCAATAAGATTAATTTTTTTTAAAATAAAACTTTACAAGACTAATATAAAAATTTCGAACAGTTGGTCGACGAAAAAGCATACAACATGATGGTAAAATACTCAGTGAAGTTGTCAATAAACTAAGAAATGAAATAATAAGATAAAATAATCTAATAATTAATCCTTACCATAATTTAGCTAATGTTCCATGATCAAATTTTGTTCGAAGTTTAACAATTAAATTAAGTGTACACCAAAAATTAGCGACTTTATCCTATGAAAAAATTAGTATTATGTTTTAATTTATTTGTAATTGATATTTTTACTTCATATAAACCTCGTTCAAATGGAAAAAGTCGTTTCATCACAGCCATTGGATCATGTTTTAATACAGGAAACCATATGATAAAAAATGTCAAAATAACAACGAAACCCAATGATAAAAATGTTTTCAATCTTAATGAAATCAAAAATGAACTTATTAAAAATAAAAAAATATAATTTCACTTGGGTTTTCTTTGTTCAAAACAATATGCTGATAATAAATAGACAAATATCGGTACAGCATGATAAAGTTCCATTTGTTTATAATTAAGTGATAATGTAAAGAAAATAGCGGAGAGTAAAATTGTTTTTTCTTTTGTAGCCATTACAAATGCAATTAATGCTAAACCAAGACTTATGGAATTAAATTGAAAATGACCATGATCAATTAAAATCAATAGAGGATAAAATAGATTAGTTAATAAAACAGTAAACTAAATCAGAATTAAGAAATTGAATGAATATATAAAAGAATGAAAATACGAACTTTTTTTGTTTCAACATTCTTATTAAGTAAATCAGACCGATAAGTATAGAAAACAGCTGGATAATAAATGAGAAGATCAACAATAAATACTAACAAAAAAATTTATATTGATTTAAATTTTGTAAAATCTTTTCTTTCGAACGAACCGGTATAACGCATGAAGAGTTTATGAGCATCACTTTCATGTCCATGCGATTCTTTCAAAGCACACCATGTTGGATTGATTTTATTTGAACTATGAAAGTAATAATTATTCTTGATTTCAACATAGAATGCATCGTGATAGGTTTTTATATAGTTCAAGAACGAAAACAGATAAAAATCGTAGATTTATAAATGTTTTCGTTTTTGTAACATGCATTATATGTTACAATCAAGAATAGAAATTATTTTATGTCTTCTTACATCCATCCACAAATATATGAATGATAAGCGGTTAATAATGGATAATCTAAACCCCAATAAGTCAAATTATTTGATGATGAATTTTGATACCTAAATTAAAATAATTCTTTAAACGATTTTCTTCGCTTATTTTTCTTTCTAACCATTCACTAACTGGTAGATTGACTGTAATTTCCATCCAATGACGTTGTGCTTCAAAATCACCAAACATTGGAAATTTATTATAACCTAAAATGAAACGATGTACAAGATAATTCTAATCAATTGAAAGACTTTAACCTAAACCCCCCCCCTATAATAGAAGCCCACCCCATATTAGAAGCCCCCCCGTATTAGAAGCCCACCCTGAGATGAGCAACGTGTTTGACGTATTAGAAGCCCCCCTAATTTTTCCAAATTTTTTTTAAAATTTTTCATAATTTTTTCGGATTTCCCTGCTAAAGTTGCTAAAATTTCTCGATTTTAAGGTGAAATTTCGACTAACTCCTATCTAACTATGCTTAAATCTGGAAAAATTGCAAAAAATCTTCTGAAAAACTCATGAAAACCTTGAAAATCTCTAAAAACCTTCCGAATCGATTTCCTTATCATAGTCTATGAAATTTTTTTGGGACTTAATAGAAGCCCCCTCAAAAAATTATAAACGGTAGCCAAATTAGAAGCCCAGGGGGCTTCTAATATGGGGGGGGGTTTACCTGAATAAGGATATCGAGCAACAATCCATCGCAAAGTAATAGCCGATGCAAGTAATCCAAGAAAAAGTAGATAATTCATTCTGAAAATAAATCATAGTTGCTTTAAGAAATATATCAAACAGAATTTATATCTCATCATTTTATTTTATCTGACTGAATTATCTAATTTTTTTTTACATGAACGTATATACAAAAAAGAATATAATAATTATAAGAAAATATCTGCAAGATGTAGATCATTCTTCGTCTCCTTCTTGTTCTTCCTCTTCTTCGTCATCTTCTTCATCTTGATCTGGTTGTACATCATTTGAATCGTCATCAGTAATTATAGAACTTTCATCTAAAAAAGTAATGATAACAAAAATATTCGTTTTTTTTGTTTCAAATAAATTCTTTACTGTCATTTTCTTCTTGTTGTTGACGATAGGTAATATCACTTAATTCATTTCCTTTTAAATCTTTTGCTTTAAGTTGACCAATACAAAATACATTTGCTGGACAATTATTAACATCTACCATAACTTTAGCTCGACACATAAGCATTTCAAGTGTACGTTTTAATGCTGGTACAAGACGTATACATGACATATGTTTTTGATCTTTTTTAACCATATTACAAAGTGATTGTAACAATCGAGTTGATTTTTGTAAAACAGTTAATAATTGTTTTGTTCCATATGTATCATGTAGAAAATAAAGATCTAATGTTGGCATTGCACGCGCTCGAAATACATCAATATATTGTTTTGAACAACGAAGAACAGTTGAAACAACCTACAACAATTCATTTACAAATAGAGATGTGGAATTAAGGTATGTATTGAAAACGCCGAATGATTAAATGTCGAATAGAAAAAAGGTAGACAAATGATTGTCGAAAAACAAATTATGGGTGTGGGTGAGGGTGTGGGATTAATGAGAAGGATACAAACATCCACACCCACACTCTTCGTCAAGATGGAAAGAATATCAGTATTTTTTAATAGCGACATCTCAGACGTTCCGATATTTTAAATGATCGACGTTTTCCTTTTTCGACTTTTTTTCCTTCGACATTTTTTCTTTCGGCGTTTTCATAGTAAATCGGAATTAATATTAGTATTAGTTTTAACTATTCTATAATATTTACCATAACATTTTTTGCATATATTTGATCGATAGCAACAAATGATACAAATTTTCGAAATAATTCATTAAGTTCTAACCATTCTGCACAGGTATTTTCAAGTTCAGCTTTTTTCTTTGATTCATTTGGTAATCTAATCGATCGAGCTTTAATAATAAAATGTTTAAAAAGAGAACGAAAATAGATAATAAATGTTGATTTCATATTCCATGTTGATAGATCAACAATTGTATTTTCTGATGTATCATCATCGAGATTTTCATTATCATCATTTAAACCTTTATGAGCTCGTGTAAAAATTTTTAATGAATAATCAATTAATCCAACAATAACAGCAGTTATTTCATCTGATTCAAGATGAAGTAAGTAAAGATTAAGAAGAGTTTCAATTGCTCGAATTGATGTTATTTTTGAAAATGAGATAACTGTACTTGAATTTGTATCAAGATTACATTCTTCTAAAAATTGTCGACATTTACTAGTATAAATTTTGTATAATTCATCCTAGAAATAAAAACATAAGAAAACAATAGGTGGAAGAAGAAAATTTACTTGATGTGTTTCTTCATCAAATAATTGAATAAATAATTCTAATGATTGACAAAGACGAGTTATATCAATTAAACTAAGTATATCAGCCAATGAAAAAAATTTCTTAAATATTCGAATTCGTTCATTTTCTTCTTCTTCTGGTTTTTTACTAGTCGTTTTCTTTGTTGGTAATATATGGTTGCCAATAAGATTAATTAAACGACTTAAACATGTTGTATCTTTATCCAGATCTTTTTGCCAATTTGATTGTTTAACTTTGAATAAACTTAATAGAAAATAGAAACTATCAAGTGCATAATAAAATGCATGACTAGCTAAATCACGACTTTGATCACGATCGATTAAACAATTCATATCAGCATCATCGTCATCTGTATCCATTAATTGAGTTGTATTATCCGTATTTGTTGGACTCATAAACATATGAATATATTTCATTGTATGTATAACTTGTATTAAAAATATTTCAAAATATTCTAATGTCATAAAATCAAGTTTATCATCATTATTTTCATCATAATCTTCATTTATATCATCATTATCAACACGTATTTGTTGTGTTTGTAATGTTGTTGGTGCTGTATGAGTATGAAAACGTTTTTTTATGACACCAATTGATGAAATTGAAGAATGATTATTTGTTAATAAACGATGAAGATCACCCATTAATGTCGATACACAACGAAGAATAGTTAAACGTTGTTTACCTGTACTTTTTGGTAAACGTTCAAGATATTTTGTTATATATGGAAATGTAACATATTCAAGAGGACGTATATCAAATTCATATATATCAAATATTGAGGATTGTTTTGATTTAAGTTCTATACAAAAGAAATTAAAATATAGATTATTGAGTTTGATATGAGAACAAAATTAAACTTGTAGGTTATCTACTCGGTATTGCCCCAAAATCCGGAACATTTTTGAAAAAAGATTGAACAGTTTATTTAACGAAGGAATATGTACAAGAAAGAAGAGAATTGATGTAGTTCACTTTTTAGTAGCCATCAATAAAGAAAGTCCCATGAGATGTTCGTCGCGATCGTTCTCATCGCCCTCGAAATGTTTGGTAAGTACGACTGTGAAAGCTCAGGTTCAGTTCTTTCGAACTGAAACTGTCATATTTCTATTGGCAAGAGTATTGATTTTAGCTACAAGGTATAGGTGTGGATGAAGCATGGGCACAACACCCACATTCTCAAGGTGCGCGTCTGTGTATATTTGCTAACCGAAGTACAGAGCACAGTAAGGCAGAATGGCACTCGGTAGACGATATTCATAAACATTTATGAAAGAATATTATCATTCTCTTCTGTTAGAATGATATCAGAAATTTTCCGGATTCCAAGATATATGCCTCTACTCGATAAGAACTTATTAGAAACGAATTGAAATTATATTTTAATCGTATTTCAACTAAGGAAAAACTGCAATTTTATTTGTACGTTACCGATAAATAAGCACGATATTTTTGTCAAAGAAAACTATTCATAATCGACTTACTGGGTTTAACTTTTGGTTTTGATATTGTTGCTGTTGTTCGAGGTTTTTTCTTATTCGTATTTTCTTCATCTTCACTTTTACTTTCTTCATCTTCTTCATCTTCTGTAATTGGAATAGATCGTCTAAATAACATTATTTATAGAATAATTTTTAATTCTAAAACTAATAATCTTACTTTGTTCCTTGTTGTTTAGATACTTTTGTTTTATTTGTTGTTGTTGTAGATTTTTTCGTAATTTTTTTCATAGGATTTCTTTCCATATTTGAACAAATTGGTTCATAAAATCCATATTGTTGTCGACATATTTGTACACAAATAGAAAAATGTTCTTCAATATCTGTTAATTGTTCAAGTCGAGTTGATATTAATAATTCATTTTGATTAGTTGTTGATGAAAGTAAATTACATATTTCACGAAATAATCGACTTGCATAATAATAAACATCACATAATATATTCAATGATAAATTTGATAATTCTTTTAGTTTATCACGATAAGTTTCTAAAGATCTTGGTACATCAATATCAATGTCATTCGATAAATTTATATCAGGTATACGTAATGAACATTGAAGAACAGCATCAACTTGATCTATATTTGACCATGATGCTAGAACGATTAAACGAAGCATCGGTGCTAATAATATGGGTGATGAACTTGTATCACTCATTGTTCGATATTGATGATATTTTGAAATAATATTTGCTAGATTTAACACTGATGCATTTGGTATTTGCCCGTCAAAATTATAAACAATACGTGTTTGTTGAGGAAAACGATTGGTATCCAATGAATTTGATGTTAATGATATATTACTATCATTAAGAAATGCTTCTTGAAACATATCAGCTGCTGAAATAGCAAACCAATTAAGAGATTGTGTATCGATTTGTGAAGATGTTGAACTATGTTGTTGTTGAAATTGTTTAGCATTAGCTGAACCAAGAATTGTAGCTAATTCATCATAGAAAAGTGCTAATGTTTGAGGACATTGCATGCCAGATGATTGGACAAGACCAAGAAGATCTTTTAATTCATTTTCATGATTTGATGTTTTTCCATCAAGACGTGTATTACCTAAGAAATTTAATTGATCACATATTATTAAAGATATTCAAGAATGTCTCAATTATACTAAACATAATTTTTATTAATCTTACTATTATTTGGTGCTTGTGCTAAATCTGCTACATGTCTAAGAAGTAATGAACGAAAAATTTCGATTGCACCAAAAACACCACGAGCTTTTTCTTTATGTGGTTGAATTAAACATTTTGTAACAAACATATTTAAATCATTATATACACCAGTATTATACATCGAAGCTAGAATTGAAAAAACAAGACGAAGATGATCACCCTAGAATAACAAAATCAAATATTTTTCCTATCAATATCATTTTAACTTACACGAAATACATCAATATATTCGAATAAATTTTTTAAATATGATTCGCATGTTAACATTTTTGTTTTATATCGATAACAAAAACGTTTCAATAATTTAAGTATTTGTAATCGTTGTAAATAACGATTTTGAAATATAATTGCCATACGAACAAGTCCACTTATAATTTGTTCATGAAAATCAGGTATATGTTTAATATCATGGCTAACAGAAAAAAGTAAATCAATAAGCATAACAGCTAATTGTAAACCTATTTGTAAATGTATAAGATTTGTTGATGATAATGAATTGTTTGTTGTTATTGTTGTTGGAAAATTTCCAAAAGATAATTGTTGAAATATTGCAACAGAAAATCGAAATATATGTTGAGCATATTTATTAACAAATGATATATTTGATGTTAAATGTGTATGTATTGAACGAATTATTGATGGCTCTTCACCAAGCTTTTTAATAAATGTTTTTAAATTATTATAATATGAACGATTTGTTAGAAGAATTCCAATAAAGAAATCAAATAAGAAATAACTATTAATTTTTAAACATATATCAGCTGTTATTGGATGTTTTTCTTGACATGTTCGAAACAATATACGAGATGAATGAAAATAATGTTCAAATCGTTCGAAAAGATTTTGTACTGATTGAAAATTATCTATTGTTGAACATGTTAAACGATCAGATCTAAAGAAATTATTTACTAATTAAGAACATATATAAAATACAGAAGAAATTGTTATCATAACTAAACCTTCATCTAGATGCGTAACCGGACGGTGGTTAGGAGTAGACATGAGCCAAATCTAAACCGTCTGAGAGTTTGGGTTTGAATCTGCTTTTAATTGCCATCAATGGATCCAAAATAGTTTCTTCTACAGATTAGAAAAGCGCAAACTATTTAGGGATTTGGGTACTAAACTCAGACCCAAACCCAAACTCATTACCCAAACCGAAATAGTATGGGTTTGGA